TAATATATTTGTCATCCCACTGGTCCTTGGACTCTGGAGAGCACCATGAATAACCGATATTGAAAACCTGTGCACAGCTGTATCCCACATGTGGCCCAGAATGAGAATTGCATATACGTGTATGGAAAGAGAGAAGGGACGATATCCATAAGTAAAGAGGCCCCGGGCCAGAATGAACAAGATTTTGGCCAATACATCATTTGTCAGGTGTGTCTCCTAAAAATCGCAGTCGGACTATGGTCACCTAATATTTCCCACCTTATCTGAGAAGGATAAAGGGACGCCTCAAAGGCACAGTAAAGCTACAATGCCAACATACTAATTCAGAGGGGAGAGAGAGAGAGAGAGAGAGAGGAAGAGGGAGAGAGAGAGAGAGACAGAGAGAGGGAGCACGCAGGGCATGTGAAAAAGAGCAGATGGCTCAGCAACACACCAGGTACCTCGGCCCCCACCTTCCCGCCCAAACACCAATATGGGGATAGACAGGCAGGCCCACATGGTTAACAACGGAGCTGCAGGTAAGGGACCTCAGAAGGCAGAGGAAGGGCAAAACTCAAGAAGGGTCTCCTCTTGTTTCAGAAGCAGACTCTTTCAGCAAGCAAGGGATGAGAGAATTCCTGAATTTTGACTTCAACTTTGCCTCATTGTGAGGCAGATCTCACTTCCCGTCTCTCCTCCCTGACAGGATGAAGGCTGTGGCCATGGCTAAGGCCTGTTGGAAGGCTGTGGGGACCTGTAAAGTGCTCTGCGTGCTCCGGCTTCCCCAAATCTGTCAGCTCAGCTTCCTGATGACATGGCCTGCACAGAATATTTGCTCTTTGTGTGAGGCAAGGCATCTGGCAGTGTGGTTTCCTCGCCCTCCTCCAGCCTGAGTGGCACCCAGTACCTCATCCATCAAAGGACAACATAACTCTCAGAGGGCTGTGAAGGATCAGGCCTGCGGCCAAGGAAGAACTCACCAAAAACCCATCCCCTCGCTGTCCTGACCTCTGAGGACAATTCAACTGCAGAAACGAATGCTTACACACAGCCTCCTGTCATTCTTGCGTTCAGCTCTGGGTGTTCCCAAGTGGGTTTTAAGTTATTGGACAATCAGTAAACACTAGAAAGGAGAACGCCAATAGAGATAGTGCCTGCTGGAGAGGGCAGACAGCCAGAAGTGTCAGTGCCTTTCAAGACCACCATCACTCAATGCCAAACTCTGGCCTGCTCACTGCCCAGCATAGCAGACCCTCAGAGACAGGGGGACAAGTGGCTCCTCCCTCTTCCTCTGTCCTCAGGAAAGCAAAAGCCATGCCGTCCACGCCCTCATCCTCCTGCCCCAGGAGCTGGAAGTCCCAGAGGACACCTTCCACCCACACAGCCACTGGGAGCTGATACAAAACTCCAGGATGCCCTTCAGCAGCCCCCTCACAATCACCCTGGACACCACCACTCTATCACCTCCTGACCTCTAAAATTAGCACAGCCACTGAATCTTCCAAGATGCCCCATGTCTGTGACCTTGTGTGCTTTGCTCCCCACTTCCCACACTCACATCTTCCACTGCCCAGACAAGTGCAGGATCAACTCTCCAGACAGTGCTGAGCCAGGTCAATGCTGGGCTGCAGCAGCATTGAACAGTAGCTCTCTGGGGCCAGCATCCATCTGCTCTGAAGTCACGTTCATGAGTCCTACTGCATCTCTGGACTCAGCCCACAGGGCAGTGGAGCTTCTTCAGTTGAAAACCTAGCATCGTACTTCTATTAGTTTCAATCCGATATTCTCTCACTGTAAGCCAGACAAGATACATGCCTGGCCAGATCCTTTCTCAGCCCCATCCCTTCCTAGCCTCTCTAAGGACACGCACTGCCCAAATCAGCCAGATAAGTGGCCACTGACTGTTGGAGCAATGCTACATAATTTTAGGGAAAAATCATTTGGTTAGTTTAGTTCTCCTGCCTACAGCCCAGCTATGGAATTCTGAGACATAATTGCATTTTGGCCTCCAGTCACAACTGAGAACTCAATGATCCATCCAGGGATGCTGTGATTCTCCAGGACAAGAAACATCCTGGGAGCTGAAAACATCCCAAGAGGAACAAACATCTACTCAGTTCCTCCTTGTTCTTGGATTGTTACATCTTGTTTACCTGGATGTACTGAACTCTTTGCAAGTCATTTGTTACATTTGTTTCTCCCGATGTACTGAATAAAAGGTGCTGTAAAGCGGGGGCTATCATCTTTGCCGCCCAGAGCAGTAGTGATCAGATCCAAAGCTCAGCTTCTTCTTCTCAGTCTCATTTTTCCACCTTTCCTGCAATTCACCGTGTACTGCTGTGGCTCACAGGAGACTAGGACTTACTGCAGAGGTTCTAGTAATGTCCCCTTTCCCTGTTCCCTACAACTAACAGATTGGCAGCTGTGGTAGTCGTCTTGACCTACAAGATCTCAGGAGAGATCTCTCATCTGAGTCTTTGCTGAGTTCCCCTTCCACCCATGCACTGCATGCAAAGCCTTGGGATTAAGGACTTTCTCCTGTCCCTGCCCCACTCCCCTGGCCAAGTGTCAGAAGTCATACTTTTAATTAGCAAAACAAATCACCCCAAGGAAGGTGGGTTTCTCATGGGCAGGAAGCAAAACCAGCTTTCACCTTAATACCGTGTGAGAATGTGCTGGCTTCTCCGCCTCTCCCGTACCTGTTTGTGTAGCACGGAGCACTATGCCTGAAGCTTGCTCATGCTGTATATTCATGGAGCAAATTTCTCAGGAAGCTGTGCTGCAAATGACACAGTCCTGAGGCTCAGGAAGTTTTGGTCATACACAGTAACTTGACCACAACATCCTGGGAACCCCCATGAAGATCCCCTGCAGCTCAAGTAGTTCAGGGAAGGCATCACAGAGAAGTGTTTTCTGTGAATAAAATGACAGTACTAAACCATCTCCATGGTCTCCAGGACTGGGACCCATCCATCCTATCACATCCTCCACATGTGGTTGGGGGAATGCCAGCTTAAGCCTGGCACACACACTCAGACCTTTGCAACTTCTGAAACACAGGATGGCCTGATAATGACACACCTGCCAGGTCCCCATTGGTGTCCACAGCTGAGCTCTTCGTGCTGCTGTGATGAGCAGGGCATAGAATGGGTGCAGAAAGTACAGGGAACAGAATCTGCACCCTGCCAGCACAGCTGGAAATGAAAAACCATTTAATGTGCTTTGGGTCAGCAAAGATGACCTTGAAAGTACAGGCTGGCAGCAGGCAGCTGAAATCTGCAAGCAGTTGAGGGCTCTGACAGGAAAAGAGAAGCCCAGTAGTAGGGGGTTGGTACATGCTAGAGACTGTCTGGGCCTCTCCTCTCATCCCCCACCAGACAAAAGGCAGAAACATGGAGATTTCCAAGGAGAGCCAAGGGACGGGTGATGTAGGGAATTCTGCTGAGCTCCACGAGCTGAGTGGGAAATGAAGGTCAGAAACAAGAGGAGAAAGGACAAATGTGAGTGGGGCAGAAAGAGACGGGCCAGCAGCTGCCTGCTGACACTTTCCTGCCTTTCCCAGTGGGCACTGCAGACAAGTCTTTGCTTGGCCCTTCCTTAGGATCTTGCCATTTAGATAAGGTGCATGCAGAAGGTGCTCTCCTGCAGCCCAGGTCAGCAAGGCCTGGGGCACCTTACAATACCCTTTTCTTCTAATTCCCTGGGCCAGGAGAGGCCTTGAGGCTCCTGGCTCACATGTCCTATCATCTTCAAGAAAGTAGGTGCCTGACCAGTCCCACAGAGCTCTCAACCCCATTTGCCATTAGAACTTCCTGGGCCATTCTTATAAAATTGAACATACTTGAGCTTCACTGCAGTTAATATCCAGATTTTAAAAGAAAATACACAAAACCCCTCCAACGTTAAGAACATCACTGGCCTCAACTAATCAAACCTCCAAATTCCAACATGACCAGAGGCATTTCCTCTCCCTGGTCTGTGGTAGAGCTCTGCTTCACCCCACATTCAGGCTAGGCAACCCCTTAACATGTAGCCAGGTTGACCAGATGTCCTTTAGTGTCAGCCCACCTACATTAAGGTCCCAGGTTTTGTCCTGTGGAAACAGGACATGGTCTGGTTGATGATGTAAGCCAAAGGTCAGGCTTGGTGATGAATATCACCACAGTTCTGACTGCCTCGTAGGCTCAGCATTCCCATGACCCTGCTTGACAGGAAAAGGACTGACAGCTATTCGGACAAAGAGGAGGTTGCGATCCTTTAAAAAGATAGGTGATGCATTCTGCTGCTTTCTCTGATCTCTTTTTAACCTCTTTTTTAGAAAGTGCTGTCTGACTCACTGTTTTCATGTGGTTGGGCAGAGTCAAGCTAAGAAATACTAGGCACAAAAGTCCAATCTAAACTCTGACATGGTAGTGCATGCCTGTAATCCCAGGACTTGGTAGGCTGAGGCAGAAGGATTGCTGAGTTCAAGGCCAGCCTGAACTGTAAACTGAGACCCTGTCTTAAAAAAACACTAAAGACCAATCCAGCAGGTAAATTCCCTTCAGAAAATCAGTTATTAATTTTTAAGAACTGAGGCAAAGAAAATATTTGATATGATTAGGGAATACATTTTTAATAGATTAGATTTGCAACTGCCTCTTCTCCGTTACTGGTCCTTGACCCTTCCCCCAAACCCCTACACATCAATAAGGAATCAAGACAGGTCTTTGGAAGAAGGAATAGCAGTGCTATACAAAAAACACATGTACAGCATCTCAGAGGCACTTGAGTTTAGACATACTGTGCCGTTACTGATAAGAACATGCCAAGAATTTAGAGTCCAGACATTAGCCAAGTCTAGGATAATCTAGGATCTGCCTCAACCAACATTTAATGCATTAGTCAGCAAATTGTTTTTGTAGTGGTACAGACAGTAGGTATTTTAGGATTATAGCACACGTAGCTTCTGTCACAATTACTCGGCTCTCCCGCTGCAATGTGAAAGTTGCTACAGACAATAAAGGATGTGATTGCATGGGTGAAACTGTATTCCAATAAAATTTTATTTACAAAAAGAGTCAGGCCAGATCTGGTAGTTCACCAACCCCTCTTTTACCATAACACAGCTTCTGTTAGATCAAACTGTGTGACTTTGAATGTATGAGTAACAAATAAGGAAGTAGAACAGTAAAAGACTGGTACGGATTTAATGACAAATATTCCATATTTGTTGCTGTGCACCAGAATACTGTCCAAAGAACCATTATTAAATAAAACAACCTGAAAACAAGGCAATTCTCACATTTACAATCGCACTCACACAAAACCTGTTACTCTCAGGAGCATTAAATTATTCACTATTTTAACAAACATGTAAAGTAACATTACAGTGAATGACAGTGTGCACAAACTTCAGAAACAGTTCAGATTGTCTATGAACAAATCCTTAATTTGTACCTTTTCACATATGTACAGCCTCTTGACTGCAAAGAGAACATATGGCTCAAGGGGTTAACTGTTCATCTCCCTCCAACCCAGAACTCAAGATTTAATCACAACCACTTAAACTTTAACTGCTTCAGGTTTTGCTTAGCAGAGGTCTTGGCCAAATTCCCCAGGAAACAAATTAATACACTTACTGCCACCATCACTAATGATTTGGAGCAAAGAATCTTTAAACATTTCCAAGGGTGAACCACACTTAACAGGGTTTGCTGAAGAAATAGTATTACTCTAAAATTAAAAACAACAACCTCCTGAATGCATTTAGCTTCACTTAATATGGGTGTATACCCTGGAGAAACATAAGAAATATGGAATCACATTTTAAAAACACCATGAGATCAGGTGCCAATGGCTAAACAGTTTGCTACTGCTGAGGAGTTTGCTCACAGAAGGGATTCTAATGCCATAGCTGACTCTTATCCTCCACAGTAATAAAAAGGACAAGAGGGGCAAAGTCCAAAGATTTTGCCATTGTTTCACGTTAGCTTTGATCCCCACTCGCTACTGAAATCCAATTTTGCTAATAGGTAACACATTTGATGCTGACAGGACTATGTAATGATGGCAGCAAAAGACCAAAAAACCCATAAAGTCAATAATCCATTCATAAACAATCAAACGCTGGATGAGATTTTTATAGGCACAGACTTGAGAGAACTTAAAACAGCTGGAAGAGGTAGATGTGCTTAAAAAAAAAAAAACACCACAAGGATTACCTACAAATTATACTGTATTATTTTTAGACAGATCGTATACACTTGATATTCAGACTACAAAAGTCAGAATAAATAAGATAGGTACTTTGCTTGTGTAGTCTTGACTAAAATAAAAATGAATTAGTGTCTTTCAAAACTATGCCTAGTATGAACATCCATTTTCATTTGTCAATAATAACAAAATGATTAAGAGGGCAAGGAAAATAGGCAATATACAACCCAAAATTTTCAGGATATTTTGTTATGACAAAAACATGCTTTCCTACAGTCCCCAAAGAGGTTCTTTGCTAGAATACAACTGATCAAGTATAAATTACTAGCATTCACAGAAACTTTGCTAAAACTGTAAAAACAATTTTGTAGCTTTTTCCTCTTTCAACTGTGTCCAACAGTTTGTGAAAATGCTTCTATGAATAGTAGAGGGTAACAAATATTAGTGAAGAAAACACTCCTTTCCACAACTCTAACTTCTAAGGCTAACCTAGGGGAGGGAATTTTCAGCATAGGGGACTGAAATCTACACCAGTTATTTAACTACAGCCCCCTACTAGAAATGGAACAGAGCTAGGACACCCTACATAGGTGACAAAGACCAGCTTTGTCAATAAGGACGTCTTTGGCCCTTCTAGGCTAGATTTGAGCTTTCCATCAGGAATAAAACTGTTCAGTGTCCTTATCATATAGTCATGACAAGTTAAGTTTTCCTAGCAGCTGACCCAGAGAACACGAAAGGTCAGGCAACACCAATTCATGCTATCCTCTGCCTTCCTTCAGGACAACCTGCCACGTTCCTGTCCCCAGGCCTTCCCTAAAAGAGGTCATAATACTGATTCACCTCACGAAGATGTGAGAAACAACTAACAATCATTAAAAAGCATAAAGCACTTTGCAAATCCAAAAGTGCTATTTTGGCATCTATATAACAACTAGAAAACATTCATCGCTTGTGCTATTTGGCAATGTTGCATTTACACCTCTCTCAGACTGTGCCCCCTCTGTGTAAAGCCTTGAGATTTCTACAGTGCTTCCACACATCAGAAACAGAAATTGCTGCTTGGACTAGACCCCTCATTAGTAAGGATGGAGGTGGGGCTTAGTGGGGGACAGGGCACACGCCTGCAAAGTGAAGGCAAATGAGACAAAGGAGCCTTGCATTTCAACATACAAACTTTACTCCCCTGGATTTCTCACAGAAGGCCAGCAAAACTGAGCTAAATTCATTTTTGTAGGTGGCCGGGGGAGCTGTTGATAGTCTGATGTTCACTTGAAAGCCGACCTGAGAAGGGAAAGTCACACAAAGCTGAGACGGGTCCATTTCCCTGTACCTGAAAAATCACAAGTGAGACCTTAAAAAAAAAGTACTGGGCCTGGTGTATGCCTGTGACAGAGACCCAGAGATAGGTCATCCTCATGAACAACCTGGACTCACCATGAAGCCAGAGTGCTTTTCAAGGAAGTGGCAAAGAACCAGGAGCAGAATTTTCCAAAAGATCTGAGAACCAGTTATAAATTAATTTCTACAGCCCAGAGGCTGCCCCTTAAAATGAAAGTGTCGTCTTTCATGACCAGTTTCCCCTTGAGGCCTCAAAATAGCAGCTAACTGTGGCTCAGAGAAAGGAAAGGAAGAGTACAGCCCATATCCTCTCCTACAGGGTCGACTATAGCTGATAGGGTGGGGTGGCGGGCATCAGGGCAAACACTGCTTACCACCTAGTGGGACCGGTAGATTTATACCCGCATTTTAGGTTACACCATGACTCTCATTCCAGCCATGGCTTCTTCCGATTCCCACAGACCATCGAAGCCCAACGTACTCTGTGCCTGTCATCTTGTTTCCCACTGCAAATCTTCCTGAAGGTCCTCAGAGCCACGACTCAAAACACGCTCTTCCCTCATCCACTCAAGCACACCTCCCAAGTTTCTTTGATGGAGAGGAGGTACGCAAAATATAGCACCCCGAAATAACACCTCCTCAACCCTTCCCTTCCGGACCCCAGGACACCACAAGGCCCTTCAGTGGCTCTCAGATTGTCCCTCCCGCCCCTCCCCCCCCACGTCCTTCCACAGGGTCTGTTCCCGGGACACCCTCTCCCCACTCACTCGCTCCACCCCCTAGCACAGGTGCAGCTTCTGGTGCTGCGCGAGGTGCGTCTTGTAGCGGAAGCCTTTGCCACAGCCGGCGCACTTGTGCGGCTTGTTGCCCGTGTGGATGCGGCGGTGGCGGATCAGGTGCGAACTCTGGATGAAGCTCTTGCCACACTCGATGCACGTGTAGGGCTTCTCGCCCGTGTGTGTGCGCTGGTGCTGAGTGAGCGTGGAGAAGTCGCTGAAGCGCTTTTCGCACTGGCCACAGCGGAAGGGCTTCTCGCCTGTGTGCACCCGCAGGTGGTTCACCAGGTGCGAGTTGCGCCCGAAGCCCTTGCCGCATTCGCGGCACACGTAGGGCCGCTCGCCCGAGTGCGTGCGCTTGTGCGTGAAGAGGTGCGAGCTCACGCTGAAGGTCTCGCCGCACTCGGAGCACATGTAGGGCTTCTCTCCCGTGTGCACGCGCTGGTGCTTCACCAGGTCTGAGCGCCAGCTGAAGCGCTTCCCGCACTCGCCACAGCCGTGTGGCTTCTCGCCCGTGTGGATGCGCTGGTGGTTGGCTAGGTGGGACCTGCGCACGAAGCCCTTGCCGCACTCCCCGCAGGAGAAGGGCCGCAGCGCCTCCGTGCCCGCCCCGCTGGCCGCCGCGTGTGCGCGCCGGTGGCTGAGCAGGTGTGAGCTGAGGCTGAAGGCCTCGCCGCACTCGGGGCACGGGTAGGGCTTCTCGCCCGTGTGCAGGCGCCGGTGCTTGAGCAGGTCTGCGCGCCAGCTGAAACTCTTGCCGCAGTCCGTGCACAGGTTGGGCCGCTCGCCCGTGTGCAGGCGCAGGTGGTTTGTCAGGTAGGTGTTGCGGCTGAAGCCCTTGCCGCACTCCCCGCAGCGGAAAGGCTTCTCGCGCGGGGGTCGGGGCAGCGTGGGCCCCGCTCCGAAGCCCCCCGCCACACTCACCCCCATCATGCCCACCACCGCCCCGCACTCGCCCGCCAGGCCGAAGGGCTCCAGGCTGGCCACCGCGGCGGCCTCTGCCAGGCGATGCATGCGCTGGTGCTGCAGGAAGGCTGTGCCTGGGCTGAAGCTCTCTCCGCAGTCCGGGCAGATGGTGGGCGCGTCCATGATGCTGGCCACCAGGCTGTCAAGCTCCCCGAGGTCCACGGCCAGGGGGTGGTGCAGCCGGTGGAAGCGGCGGTGGGAGGGCTTGTCGCCCCGGTGCCGACTCCCCAGGGAGAGGTGGCGCCTCCAGGGAAGTACAGGAGGGGGCGGCTGTTCCTCCAGCCGGTTCTCCCCAGCGCTGTCCTCTCCCTCCTCTTCCGGGCTCCGGGCCAAGCTGTCCGACTCAGACAGGCCTGGAAACATAGCCATGTCAGCCACACCTGCCTGGTCGTCCTCTTCCTCGGGGGGAGCAGCCCTTTCTTCCAAACTCAGCAGCTCCTCTGCAATAGAAAAGGCGGACTGGGACTTACTAGACCTGGCATTTAAAAGGCAAGCCTAGGGAAAACAGCCTCAATGGGAAGAGCGAGGGCCAAGGAGGAAGGCGCCCCTCCCCGGGCACCGCAGATGCCCCAGGGCCTCTCCTACACCTCAGACTCCGCCCACCTCGCTTCTCTCAGGAAAAGCCTAAAACAGAGGACTCTGACCCACTTTTTGGGACCCCACCCACCGTACCCTAGGCTGCCTAGCAGAGGCCCTAAAGGCTGCAGGTGGGACTTGGTGAGACCTGGATCTCCAGAAATATGGTTTACTTATCCAAGAGCTATCAGTGCCTTTTAAAGGTCTAGCTTCAAAAGACAAACTAGTCTGGCCAACCCCACACACACACACACACACACACACACAACAACTTAGACTGAAGAGGCTCTGTACTTATATTTTAAACACATCTGGTCAGTCTGAAACAGCTGAAGGTGGAACAACAAACCGAACTCACCTTTCAGGATGTGACTATGACGGGGGAGAGGGAGTGGGGACAGGAAGAGAACATGGATCCCAGGGCTGTGGAGCCCAGGTTGGAGGCTGGGCCAGGACACACACCCGTTGGCCTCTGGCTGCTCCTAAGCATAGGGAACTCAGTTCCTGGGATGTGGAAGGCCACATGCTCTGCAGGGGAAGGCAGCAGGGTGCCTGGGACTGTCCCTGAGAAAGGAATGTAACCTTACAGACCTGGTCAAAAAGTATTTCCGGGGCTGGAGATTTAGCTCAGTGGTTCTGGTGCCTGCCTCGAAAGCGCAAAGACCCGAGTTCGATCCCCAGTACCAAGAAAAAAAAAAAAAGTATCTCCGCTCATTTCTTTCTCTAGGGCATGCCCTCCACAGAATAAAGCAACAGATGCCCAAAGACAGAAATAAAGAAGAGGATAGAGACCCAGCATTTACTCTTTCAGGTCAAGAATAGCAAGGGATTTAGCAGATGACTTGGATACTTTGGAAATGTGCCACACAAACCTAGGCAAGTCACTCACCCCTGCAAGTCACCTTACTTACTTGCAGAGGGAGACAGATGATTACTCCCACTGGAAGCATCTGGGTAACGTTGCCCTGCATAGTGCTAAGTACTCTGTAAATACAGCAACTCATTTAACTCTCCCAGCAACCCTGTGAGGTAGGCTCCAGTGTTACCTGTGTAATCCTGTTGCGTGCTGTCACAGTGGTAATTTGCAGCAGTACTCTGTGCTGCAAAGTGCTTTACCCATCAGCGGGCCACTTTGCCCACGATGACCAGCAGAGCCCACCTCAGATTCAATGGAAGAAAAGGATGCTCCCCTAGACCAACACTAGAAAGGCTAAGCCAGGATGGAATCCTGCCTTGTGGTCTCCTCTAGAGCTGCCCCACAAAGAATGCTGCCCCTGTTATGATTCTAGAGGAGCTAAATTGAAAGGCGAGTGGGGGAAACCCCAGCCAAGTCCTCACCTGTGCAGACGCTGGGTGCTATGTCCCTCCCCTTCATGTCCCTTCTCAGAGCTTCATCCTGAGGGCTGGAGTCCGTCTCCTGCACCAGGTGGCCCTTCTCTCCCACATCCTGTGAATTAGAATCCATTCCTCTTTCCTCTGGGTCCCCTTCCCTGTCCTCGGTGTTCTCAAAATCAGAGCCCATCTCTCTGTCTTCTGAGTCCTGGTGTTCACAGGCACCCTGATTTTCTTCTTGTTCCATCTGGGAAGAAAAAGGCAAAGGGAGGTGACCAAGGATCCTTGCTCCAGACAAAATACACAGGAAGAGAACTCTCACCAACCAGGACTCATCCACCATGCCTGGCCTTGACGTCCCCATCCAATAAAATGTCTATAGAGTTCAAAGACCCAGGTGACAAATCCGTACTCCCCAACCTAATTTAGGGTAAACAATTGGGTCCGAGGGGTGAGGTGCTGGCTGGCGGAAGAAGGAATGCAACCTTATTCTGAGGGTGCCAACATTCCTTGGACCCAAGTGTGGTCTGCTTCTGCCTATGAAGTAGATGTCTATTAGTGTGAGTTTACAGCTTAACAGCAAGGTAAGTATGCCAGTTTTTACAGCAGAAAACATAAAGCCAAAAAAGAAGACCCCATTAGCCTAAGTCTCAACCTCCAAGCAGTAGAATGATGATTAAACCCAATTTTGCTGTCGCAAAGTCCTACAATTTGTTTACTCTCATTAAGCTTTGCCTTCCCTAACAATCTCAAAAGTATTTTAGCTAATTTTGAGAAGGCATATATGGAGCCAGAAGAAAAGTGTATTGAAGACACAAGAATAACAGAAACATGATAAGGAAGGGAAAGGGGGTCTGTAGCCAGGGAAAGAATAGAATAGGGGCCTCATTGGGTTTCTGGCTAATCCTGACTACAAGGAGTTAAAACTGTACTAGAGGAACTCCCTTGGAAACAATTACAAGGACAAGGGGAGGGAGAGAGAGGGAGGGAGAGAGAGAGAGAGAGGAAAATCCAGATATAAAAATGGCACCAGATAGCACAAATGGCATTGGGACTTACTTCCATCAAGAGGAGCAGAGGGAAAGCTAACAGCCAAAGCACGGAGAGGCCAGGTGCACAAAGCCGAGATAGCTGTCCTCCTCCCCACTCCCAAAACCATGCAAAGGAGACAGGAGGAAAACGGGTGACCTTACCTTAAAGAAAATTCTCGTTCAGCATATAGCAAACATATACTCATACCTATCCACTTATACAGTGTATGTAATTCATATATGTACAGTGGGGCCTTGGTTCATGAATCTTAATTTGTTCCACGATTCTGGGGAAGATAGCTGTGTTTGTGTTTGTCATCCAATGTGGAGTTTGCAAATGGAAACAAAATTTTTCAAACTTCTACTGTTTGCAAACCAAACTGTATGTGAACTGAGGTATTACTATATATATCTTTTTCACTCTAGGGTCACTAGATTACTACAGTAGCCACACACACATCCCCAGGTGCAGGGGCCCTCTATATTAGAAGTCATTTCTATAGTCCTATTACCTATTTTGCAACATCAAAAATTTAGATGAGTTTTAACACCAACATGCCATCACGGAAAATTGGTTACCTTGCAGAAAAGGCCAATAAGTGAATTATTTTCTTCCTAAAAATAACATCAGATTCCTACACCTTTCACAGATTTCAGGTTTATAGCTCAAATTCATAGGGCCCCTGCTGAGAATGAGCAATTTAGTAAAAGGTAATTGATTTCTGCCGTCCATCACTCCTACACCTTAGCGCAAGGCAGCAGAAGAGTTTCGAGTTCAAGGATCATGGACCTTGAAGAGATCATCTTTCTCACTGCCTCAGTAGTTCCTACAAGAATGAAAGAATATGGCTGATAGGCTCAACTCCCAGCTTCACAAAAAAGAGAAAAGGGTTCAGCAAGATACTTCTTCCTTAATTGGACGCATCATCTCAGCTGATGCCTTCCCTGGGCAGCCCTTGCTCCATGGAGCCTTTGGAATGGAAAGCAAGAGTTTCAGGCAGCAGAAATTTCTCCAACTGGGTCAGCCTCTCTGCACAGAACCCAAGGCAAGTCAATTAACCCCTCACTGTTAAGAGTCCTCAGCAGTAGAAGGGGGGTAATGCCACTTAACCTTTCTCACAGGGAGGGTGTCAGAAGGAAACTGATTAACGAGCACTTTGGAAAATACTGCTGTGGATAGTTGATCCTCCGAGTTTTACAAACGTGAAATACATTATTATTCCCCTTTTTAAATTCTGATGCCATTCTTGTACACCTCAAAGACATGCTAGCTCTTCTGTAATTTTGACAGATACATCACTCTGATTGCATATTATACTTTTTCTCAGCAATGGTGATATACTCCCTATATTAGAATGGAAAAAGAAAAGAAAACCAATCCATTCTCTTAAATGTCTTCAGGAAATGGCTGTGTTTGAGGCTGGTCAGTCAGCATGTCTTGAAATACAGCTGAGTTCCTTTAGAAGATAAACGATTAACGATGCCAGGTTTCCAACACTCAGATTTCTTCTGTTATAGACTTCGAGAGAAAGGTCCAATTAAAGCCGTTAGCCTTTTTGGAAGGGTATCCCATAGCAGACCACTGTCCCCAGTCACTTCTGCCTGTCACTCTTTTGCCTCCTGGATGTCAGACTCAGTAGACAAGTACATCCCTTGAGTCTACATATATAATGCACTTGAAAGGAGTGGACAGGCAAGCATAGGTTCATAAACATAGCTTATTGGTTTGCTAGTAGTGGTGGAAGGCAGTGGAGAGGATGAGGGAGTGGTTAAATAGGAACCAGTGTTTTTGCCAACCTGAATCCAGCAAGAACTCTACACCACTAAAAGAAAGATGCCACCAGAAACTCATGCAACTAAAATGGCAAGGTGGGGGAAAGGCAGCAGCATGGCGCAGATTGGCCTGCAGCTTCCATCCTGAAGGGTAGGAGTTCAGGGACCCAGCCTGGAAGCAATGAGCAAGGCTTCACCTCTGAACCCTTTCAAGGACAGCTTCCTAGAGAACACTCCAGAAATGGCAAGCACTGAATAAAATAACTTTCTGAGTTGTGACTTCCATGCCAGAGATATTTATCTCAAGAAAAAGTTTTTTCTAGATTTAAGAGCCTGAGTTTCCTGTCTTAGGGCTGGCTTATGAATCAACAGTGCTGGCAGGTTCTGAGCTCCAAAGGGAGCATTTCCTGATCGTAACCTGCACCAAGGGAGGGAGTGTCGGGTATGCTCTGAAAAGAGCCAGAAGCTCCTAATACCTAGGGACAACATTCATAGCACAACTACACAAGTTTGTCGTAAAATGCATTATGTCGATGTCAAGCTGGAAATCTGTACACGCAACCACACGGGTTCAGTTTGATTCAAGCCATCCCATCCTGGGTTGTAGGCAGCTGTCAAGGAATGGATAAGACTCTTTGGAGGAAAAGAAGGGGGAATCACCATATTATTATTGGATGACAAGTGACTTGTTTAAAAAATACTTCCTTTTTTAAAGTACGGGCACACTAGCAGATATATTTACACATGTACACAGAGATTCAGAGAGGAAGACCAGAAGATTACTAAAATATTAAGCATCTCTTAGTCACTACTGGGCACTTTGCAGCTGATAACTCATTTAACCTTAACAACCCTACTGAAGTAGGTTTTTCCAACTCCACAGACCAGAAACAGCTCCCTAAAATGAGAAGTTGCAGAGCAGGGTTCATACCCTAGCCGTCCACATCCAGGGCCCACATAGTGAGGCAGCTTCTGGTAGTTTGGGAAGATTTATCCTTTGGGGGCATATCTGTATTTTCTACAAGAAACACATACTTTCACCAGGGGAAAGGCTAGCTTTGTTTTTAACATAATAAAGTGTATTAAAGACAAGCCTATAATTATTTGAGAAGCAACAAAAAGGAAAACAAGAGCAAGAGTTGTGATTACCTCAATCTAGAACTCTTAACTTTCAGCAATGTTATCTAGACACTACATTAGTGGATATTCAGGAACATATTGTTCCAACTCCTTTCCCATTCTCAAAATAACAAAGTAGCAACATGTTTCTTAAGCAAGTCCAGGACAGGATAATGAGTAGGCAGCAGGCAGTGAGATAGCTTTGTGGCCAGCTTGACCTAGGTTAAAATTCTCTACCCCTTGCACCAGCTACTTGACCTTGAGCGAGTTACATGACCTTGCTGAATCTCAGATTCTGCATTCATAAAAATACACGATGCCTTCACCTTCCTTGGAGGGCTGTTTTAAGAACCATATTAAAATTAATGTTTATAACAGCTACTGGCTGGAGACAAAATAAGATTAATGTTTATAACAGCTACTGGCACACTGGAGACAAAATAAATGGTAGTGATAACTACTATATTATGAAACTTTATACAACTTCTTGATTTAAAAAAATCACACACAAGATTGAGGGTCACCAATTCACAGTTATATTTACTGAGAATGGCTTTTGGCAAAAACAAGCAGAGCTTCTCTCTACCTTTCTGCTAAAAGCACTATTAATGAACAACCACCATGCAAAGACAAGAACCAAGGGTGGGCTAGATTCCTAGGAGAGCTGGGTAGAGGGTGAAAAGCTTTTAGCTACTGATAACCCAACCTGTGGAGAAAGTGGGTCTGTAGTTGAATCCGGTTCCACGAACCCTGACTGAGCACATCTGTAAGGAAGAGTCCCCAGCCCCTAGTAGGAAGGGATAGAAGTTGAAAGAGAAAGAACAGGGTGGTGGGAGCAGTCAATGAAGAGGTTAGGGTTATATGACACAGGCGAGTTCATCCAGAAGGCTCCACCACCTCCAGCACCTTCATGAAGCCTTTCCCTTGGATGCAGATCATGTCAGGACAGAATTGGGCAGCTTCCCCAAGACCACTCCACTCCCCATCTCTAGAACTCACAATACTTTTTTGTCCCTTCTTCCTACCCAAAGCCGAACTCAAGAAAGAGAGTTTATGAAGCCACTAGGAAAATACACAGGTGCCTTCTAGACAAACTCAACCCAGTTTGAAAGACTAATCAATTCACTTTGAAGACACTGCTGTAGAATGGAGGTAAATGGGATAAAGTAGCTTTCAGAAAGAAAATAAGGGGGCAGGGATAAAGGTGGGGCAAGGGGAAATGTGGCCAGTAGCAGAGCTGGAATTAGAATCTAACCTGAGTTTAATGGCACATTCTCCAGATGGTCCTCTGCAAGACTACTACATCCCATTTTATGGATATAACCTAACTTCCTGTGAATGGCTGGGGTAGACAAGCACATACCTCTCTCTCTACCTTCCCGGATTTTACAGAGAAAAACCAATGCCAAAAATAGTACCAAGTTTCCTAGCCTCTAAGAGATAAAATCACTGGTGGAGTTCTCGGTCTTCCTGAGGTGGGCAGGATTTTGCCCAGGACCCTACACTGCACTGCCAACCCCCCACCAGGATGGGCCTCGTGGGACAGGAAGCCTTCCATCAAAGCTCAAGAGAGCATCCATGCCTCTTACACTGTAATTTAACAGGTCCCTCCCCATGGAATGTAGATAACTTCAGGGTAAGCTGAGGTGATCCTTTTCACACGTGAAGAGTCCTGACCTGGTGGTATATCTCCTAGGGAAAACCTGGATTCAAACTGTGTCTTGGGGCTTCCTATGGCATTTCCCCCTCTGCCCAGCTCCTCCAAGTAGGGACAGCTGGTGAGTACCATGTGACTGGGGAAGAGAAGGAGTCCTGCTGACCACACATGATGGCACCTGGCAGTGTAAGCGGAGGTGGCCAAGCAGGGAGCAGACCTCCCCGAAATCCAGAGGACCCACACAGCCCCCAACTGGGCGGTTGGGGAATCATGTGCAGCTGCAGCCTCTGCCAGGTGGCAGGCAGCCAGGCCAGCAGGGCTGTCATGTCAGGGGAAGGAAGTGGCCTGGCAGGCAGTGAGCCAGAAGCTGCTCCCACTCAGCCGCCTCCAGCCTCCAGACTGCAGCTCCTTTCCTGTCTCCCACTCATTTCTTGGGTCCCTGCCTTACCTCCTCAGTGGGATGCTGGTCTGGCCGGCAGCAGTTGGAAGCTTCCTCCCACCATTTCCCACGCCTCCTGCCCATTACTCTCTCCCAAGGGAGAGTTTCCATACCACAGTCCAGGCAGGCAGGGACACCCGATTGGGTGGAAGGCTGGAAAAACAATTTCAGCCCACAGTTCAAAAGGCTGAACTCATGACCATAACTAGGGTCTAAACAGAGATTCCAGAGGGTTAATCATTTGTCTGTCTTCAGCACCAACCAAGTGAAGGGTCAGTTAGCCTCTTAGGGGACACAGCCCTCAGGATCTGGTGTCCTTACTGTGGGCTGAATAAGGTCAGAAAGAATCCAAAAGGGCAAAGAAAGCCACCTTACTGCATTTTCTGGGAATGGCTCTATTGAGCAAGGTGCAATGACCTTATACAAAATGTGTCCACATCCAAAGGGAGCAGCTGACCTTTCTTGCCCTTCACTGGTTTTCCCGTCCCAGATGCAGGACACCCAACCCAAGAGGCCAGCCTCCCCAGAGGCAGACTGCTGCCTGATGTGAACAATCATTCCAGACAGGGAACGCCAAAACATTACCGCCGCTAAATGCTCATCACTCTCCAGACAGAGAGGCTAAAATAATACGGTTTCTGCCTTGTGGTTACTGTTTTTTACCTGGAAAGGGAAGCCTGGTTGAAAAAAAGAGGAAGAAGATTGCCTGGCTGGTGCAAGACACTGGCTTCAATCTGCACAAAACAACAACAAAAAAGGGAGCAAAAAAAATCAATGTACAGGGTCAACATGGGTCAGCACAGGCCTCAGACTCCTCTCTGTGGTCAAGCACAGCACACAGTCCTTGGGGTCCGGTATTTCCTGTGCATTGATTGGGCTAAGGCCACTCAGTTTGGCCCGAGGGCCTCAACTTGTCACAAATTCCAAGCCTCCAGCAGCATAACCACCCAACTCCTCTCCACAAAGTGTGAATTAATGTAACACAGAAACAGATCCTAAGTGTCCTCAAAGTTAGACTACCAAGCCCTTAGATGAAAAATCACAGAAGCTAAAGTTCATGCAGGCACTGACTCATCTATATTTTATATTTTACTGATTAGAATACTTTTCTGATACACCTTCTGTCATTTTTTCGGCGGGGGGGCTCTGCTTCACATTGTAACACCCACCACCAATACCTCTATACATCAGCTTTTTGGTTTTTTGTTTCCTTATGTACAAAAGAAATCCTGGGCAGTCCTCAGAGGAATCATCTTCAGAAACCTCAGCAGCTGGTTCAAATGTTCAGCATCTGAATTTAATGGACTCACAAACCTTAAAAGTCTCTTAGTTCAAACTCCTTAGAGACAAAACTGAAGCTGAGAGAAGAAAAGTAACCCAGGTTAGAGAACAAAAAGGTAGTTTTCTAGAGGTGGGGCCAGAGTCTCATTTTCTGACGACCTCTCCAATGATCTCTGTATCTCTTTAATGTAAAATGCCACTTCAAAACCAGACGGCCAGAAAATCTGGGCCATACACCCATCCTCCCCGCTACACACACACACACACACACACACACACACACACACACACACACACTGCATTAGTCAAAGTGTTCTGGAGAAACAGAACCAATAGGTTGTGTGTATATTTAGAAAGAGCTATAAGGAATTAGCTTCTGCAGTTATGGAGGCTGGGGAGTCCAAACCTGTAAGGTCATCTGCCAAGCTGGCGACTCAGGAAGGCAGAACCAGTTCTTAGCAAAAGGCCATCTGCTAGAAAATCCCTCTTTGTCCAGGAGGACCAGTGTTTTGGTCCTATTCAGGCTTTTTACTGATTGGATGAGGCCCACTCACATTATGAAGGACAATCTGCTTCACTCCAAATCCACTGATTTAAATGTTAACCTCGTCCAGAACTCCCTCACAGAAACACCCAGAAAAATGTTTGACTATCTTGGCACCATGTAACCTGGCCAAGGTGACACAAAATTAACCATCACACATACCCTAACAAAAAGCACAGTTGGCAGTAATCCACTCATACTTCAAAATGTACCCATAAAGTCAATCACCAATTCATAAACAATCAAAAGTTGCTGAAGAGGATGGCAGGGAAGAATCAAGATCAATCTTAATTAAAGACCTGTGCAGATACATGTATGTGCACACAGCAGAAAGAGGTGCACTTTAATAACCTATTCCACTAACACAGCAGAGAAAAAGCCTTAGAATGTTAAAGGGATTTATCCATGAGCATTGTTAGCAAACGGCCTTGTCCTGGGAATGACGCTGGAATCCCGGGTTAAGGTTGCCAAACAGGGCCAGGTGACCTCAGGAAGCCTTCCAACCCAGATAAGTCTGCGATCCTATTTCCACTGGAATAAACAGGCCTCAAAAGAATGTTCCTTATAGCAAATGAGGAGCAAGAAGTGTTGGGGCCAAGGGTTTGAGGCATACATTCAGTCACCTAGCTTCCCACTGCACATTCAACGGGAAAAACTGCCCTTCCAATTCCCTGCCCAAAATAACTGGTGTTACTGATGAGGAATGGCGGGTGAGTTCCGGCCAGCAGGGTGCATTTCAGTATCAGGTAAAGTAACACCACGGCATGTAATCTGCCAAGACATCTTCCAACAAAGAGAGACAGGAAAAAAATATAAAGAAGTCACCTGAGGGCTGAATTTTCCTGGCTAATCAAGTTTTAAACTCCATAGCTAAATTGTTTTTCAGCATAAACATTTGCATACAATTAATACTTTTAAAAAATATAAGATATTTATTTTATGCTTATTTCCTTAAAAATAACAGAGTATAAGCAAAACCCACATCCTAGGAAACTATATAAGACACATGATCCAGTTTCTTCAGCATAGCAATAGCTGGGCATGGTGGTGCTCACCTGTAATCCCGTCATTCAGGAAGCTGAGGCAGGAGGATTGCCACAGGTTCGAGGCTGCCTGAACTACATAGCCATGTCTCAGAAAAACAAAAACAAAATAAAAAACAACACAACAATGACCAAAATGGCAAGAGGAAAGCAAAAGTGAGAGGTATGGGACAAAAACCCAAGTGATGTATTAACCATCCTCAAAGCACAAGCCTTATGTGAATCCCAATATTTGATATGAAGCAGTTGTTAACTTTTAAAGTGTTGATATTGGAATCAAGTTTACAAAATGTTCTTATATCTTTAATATATGAAATACTTACAGGTGAAGTTATAGGTTCTGAATTGTTTGAACGTAATTCCAAGGCAAAGAGGAAGAGGGGGATGTGCAGATGAGACAAGATTGACCTTAAACTGACCACTGGGCTGGAAGATGAGACGTGTAAGTTACCATGCTGCACTATTCGATCCACTTTTCTATTTGCTAGAAAACTTGCTAATAAAAAGCTTTAACATGCAAAACAAATTGTGGGTGGTTTTTTTCTGAAATCGAGGGTCAATTTTATTTCATTTAAATTCTGAGCAGAACATAATAAAATGTCAGTGGTTTCCACAAAAGGCATGTCCTGCTTGTATCAAACCAGAAGTGATTAGTATGCTCAATAATGAATACAGCTCATGAGCATTAGGAGAGGGGCAGTGAAATAAGAGACTAGAGGAAAGAAACTTGAGCCATGTTTTATGGTGCATGCCTATAACTGCAGCATTTGGGAGCCTGAGGCAGGAGAATCATTCAGTTCAAGGCCAGCCTGGACTACAAAGCAAGTTGAAGGGCAGCCTGGATTACACAGTGAGACCCTGCTTCTAAAAAAATGAGAGACAGAGACTTAAACTTGATGCTTCTGGGTCTGTTTCCCCCGTTTTTATGATACAGAATAGCAGTTGTGTCCAAAATAGATCCTGTTTCCACTTTCATCTACTTTTATATTTTTAAAGAACACAAAGAAGGATGCTGTCAGCTGCTGCGTGTTTATTTCCAACTTTCAATCAGCAAGTCTACACTCAAAACAAAATCTATTACCAAGTATGCTTCATTGAGCAAACATTAACAGATATATTTATGCTCCTATGTGTAAAATATGAAACCAGGGTTAATAAATATATGGACATAAAATGCTTGATAAATGCTGTCAATGATATTTAACAGATTATTTTCCTAAAATTATATGAGAGTTCTCTAACCTAATTCCCAGTCAAAAATAAATACCAAATTAAATCTAATTTTACAAGTATTAGCTAGCAGTATGTAGGAGTTACTGGTTATTAACACCATTTGACTATTTTAACCTGTTATAAAATTCTTTCCATACATCTGATCTGAAATCTCCCTTTATTATTAATCTATTGTCCCTGGTCTACTCTCAGGAATCAGAATGTTTCTATTTCGCCTATGTAACATCTCCACATTTTAAAAATAAACACGACGTCTCTTCAAAATGTTGCCCTCTATGGACTGAACATTTTTAGTTATTTTAATCATGTCTGACTAGATTGGTTATTCATCATTTCACTGTCCCTCCTCTGGATGATTCTGGTTTACAGGAATGATATGCAAGAATAATATTTAAAAATAATCAAATGAAAAATCTGAATAGTGTGCAAAGCCTTCCATAAATAGTAACGCTGATACTACCTATGTCTTCTTTGTTTTTTGCCTAGCTTAAAAAAAACCCTTAAAAGTCTGGAACAAATTTTTAAGAGGTCATATCTCTTTTTTCTAAAAACAAACTCTGTATTCATGCATGTTGCATTTGCATTTCAGGTAAGAAGACGGCCAGGCAAGAAAGAACCATGCTGTACTTCCCCATTAGAACCACTCACTAGCACTGACTTTATTAATTACACACAGTGATTAAAGTCACCAGACTTGATTTCATTTCTACTTTACTTGATTTTTGGAGGTACAAATTCCCTTTTTTCTAACCACACTTGGGCCTTCTTCAAGGTGACTGTCACTTCCCTCCCAGAAATTTTTCTATTAATCTCAAAAATTTTGATCATGCCATTCCATTGCAATTAATTTCTCTGGGTTCTGAAATAGAGTAGATGTGCATTCTGTTTCATTTAGACCTGCTTCATTGCAGGGTAACACAACCCTTGAAAGATTTGGTTGATTCATTTGGAAATGAGACCTATGATTCTTTGCCACAGTTATGCCTGATGCAAATTTTTAAAAGCTTTTTATTCTAGAAGATTCCAGTTGCTTCCTAAAATAGATTTTGGTTTAACAGATATTTTATTAAATATTTGTTTTCATCTGGCACTGTGTCAGAAACTTTCAGACTACATTGCTATGCTAGGAAAATATATTAAGTACATGAGAATGTATCTTTGAAATGAAAGATTTGATTACAGAGGGGGAAGAAGCAACTCATATTTTAAGTCTTAAAATATAAAAATATATAAATTATTATATAGCTATTAAATGTCAGTTTAAGGGCTAGGATTTCAGTGTTTTCTTTTCTCTCTGTTTTTCAATAAACTGACAAATTATTTCTTAGTTTTGATTGCCTTATCCCAGGGATTCAGCAAAAGCAATAATTTTTCAATACTTATTGATATACTTACATTTGTATTATTTTTGTTACAAACTGACTATATTAAATCTCCGTAATGTTCTTCAGTAAATCTGGAAAGAATGTATCTCCCTTTTCCCAGATGTTATCCTATGTTTCCATGAAGTTAGCTACTTTTCAGTGCTTATTTTGTTTTCAAAATATTGTATAAGTCTTTAAATGATTATAAGAAAAATAAAGAATCTTATACATTAAAAAAAAAAAAGAGAGAAACAAATGCAGTTACCAGTCCAAGTTCTGACAGCTCTGTTAAGGAAATGCTTTAACCCCCAGGACAAACTAAAGGAATGATGTGAGTATTCAACACATTAAGAGTATGAGTAACTGGTCAATCTCAGAATGATCTTCTAAGGAGAAGGGAAATATAAGGGTGCATAGATGAAAAGGAGGAAAATACAATAGCAATTTGTGAAAATGGTATCACCATGAAATGAACCCTAACATGAACAGAATTACTTTTCTGCAAAAACCTGAGAATTTGTTTGTTTTTGTTTTTTTGTTGTTGTTTTGGGGGTTTGGTGTGTGTGTGTGTGTGTGTGTGTGTGTGTGTGTGATACTAGGGATCTAATCCAGGAATAGTCTACCACACCCCAACCCGTTTTTTGTTTTTTAAGATAGGGTTTCATTAAGTTGCCCAGGCTGGGTTTAAATTTGCCCTCCTGGTGCCTCAGCCTAAGTGGTGGGATTATAGCCATGCACCACCACGCCCTGATACTTGAGAACTTCTACATGTAGGGAGTGTACTGCTGAGAGAAACCTGGAGGATTCCATGCAAATTTACTCACACCACGGTATGTGAGACCTAACTAACTCCATTTTAAAGTTTGACTCCATCTTAAAATAAGACAGTGAAGTGGCCTTGACATAAATTCCACTTCACTGAAGTCAACTATTCCCCTAGTCTCCTTTGTGCCGATACAATAATGATAAAATGTCCTTGCTGTGGGACAACAGATAAAAAGACACAGCTCCTAACTCAATCCTCTGTCTGCCCAGAAAACAGATGCTCCCGGGCCCATTATCTATAGAACATTCTGTCAATGT